AACACCATGCAATGCATTGTGCTGTTTCCACCCGTATGAAGTGAACATTTAAAGGGCTTATGGCATGTGATTACATTTGAATTAAACAGTGAAATAATGTATTTACTTATTTTTTGAAAGGTAACCTGGAAAGCTATACAAAGCTATTAGATGAGAAAAGATTAATTAAACTAAACCAATAACCATTAAATGCAAAAGTTAATCATGCGTATCTTACAGAAACACCATTTTTATTTTTATTTTGTGCCTAACTACCTCACGTTCCTCAAAACAAACAAAAGCCCTGTTCTGTTGGAGTTCGTTATTTCAGCTGCTTTTGTTGCCTCCTGTGTGCTCACTGCTGAGTGAGGCTAATGGACGTTGCTTATTTATGGAGTGACTGAGTCAAGACTCACCAGGCTGAGAAAAAGGATATTGTTACATATCTATTTTTCTTGAGGAATATTATCAATGAAACAAGCTGTACAATGTTGGACTTTTTTGGACTGGATTCTTTGAAAAATATATACAGTATACCACTGCTTACCCTGGGAATTTGTATGCCATTTATACGAAAAGTTGTTGAGAAAAGGTATTATCCGATTGAAACACTTCCTGTAGCACATTTTACAGGCAATCCCCATTGTAATGCACCCTGATTTAGTAGGAATTTACTTATAGCACAGGCATAGGGACCTGCAATATACTAGAACCTTGGAACACTTTCTACTTCTTGTGCAACCTCATGCTAAAAAATGGACATCAGTGCTCAGCACTTCCAGGGTTGTCAGGTCACTGTTGATATTGCTTCTTGCGCATCTACATGTACATTATGCACATGGTGTACTGCTGATATCATTTGCTGCCACTCCACATATATGCTATGTACAGGAAGCACTAATAATGTTTTAGCAAAGGAGGTGATGTCAGTAGAGGTTCCTGCACAGAGCATGTAGAATGTGATGTCAGACACAACCTTCGATGCTGAAAGTGTTGCAGAGCAGGCATTTTTTATGCATGCCTCCTTATAATGCCTGGTCTTGTGTTTATGTACTCAAACCACGCATTATAATAGGGTCACCCTGTGTCTGAAAAACAAATCTAATACAGTTAATGGCTAAAATAGATAATATTATCCTGAGAAATATTAAAAAATGTAGATTCATAAAAACAATCATATAGAAGGAGGTTATATGATCCATTGTCCCTTAACAGCACTGGTTCCCAATCGGAGTTTCTCTTATCCCATTTCCCACTCTTTCCCTATACCATTTTATAGATCTGCCGAAGTGTCTGCCAAATTCTCTTGTAAACATTGCAACTGACCAGGCTTCAATGCCCCTTTGTTAACACATTCTACATCTTAATGATCCTTTGTGTAAAACAAACTCTTCGAACCTCCCCCTTTACGCATTCAATAATAATATTTTACTGTTTACCTTCTCAAACCCCTTTCACAATTTCAAAACCTTTTATTAGATACACTTTTAACTTTCCCTGATTCTGTTAATACAGCCCAAATGTCATACTTTCCATTAGAATAAATATTCAAATATTCAAATTCCAGGCAATAAGTTAAGTTAAAACATATAACACATCAGCCATTTGGGGTTATAATTTTTTCTCTGTGAAACTCTGAACCAGAAATCAGCCTCAAAAATCCAAACCATTAAAGGTAAAACCTGTTTCCTAGCAGGTTTTACCTTTGCACTTCTGCAGTAGTTTGTAATTTGCTCAATTCTACAAGCTTTTTATTGCCTATATAAAAATCACTACATTAAAGAATAACTAAACCATTCCATGAAATGCTTTGAGAATTTTCAATAGGTAAGGTTATCTATCAAATCTATATATTAGATGTCAATCTGGCTCAGTCTCAGTTGGTAGCATTGAGTCAGAAGGTTGTGGGTTCAAGCCTCATGTTTGGATTTTGAACTAATCGTCGAGGCTGACTCTCAAGTGCATTATTGGAAGTGCCATCCTTCGGATGAGATATTAAACTGAGATCCCATCTGATTATTCAGGTGGCTGTTAAAGATCCCATACCACTATTTGAAAAGAGAAAGAGTTTTTCCCAATATCCTGCCAACAATCCTCCAAATAAAATGGCGATTCAGTTCATGGATGCTGTTGTTTGTTGGACATTGCTGTTTATGGAGTGTGGGGGATGCACAGTAGGCACAAGTTAGCTAACCAGGGGGTAAGCAAAAGAGTGGGGAAGTAGACCTCAAAATCAATCTGACAGATGATGGGTCCAGGTGCAGGTGCAGATATGAGCATTGTATCACTGGAGAGAGAGTAGCATAGATTTACTACAACAGCAACAACTTGCTTTTGTATAATAATAGGACTCGCAGCACTTTAAGTCATACATTGAAGAGGGGAGAGCATGCATGCACCCTATTGAGACTGTGCAAAACCTTAAATAATCCTGAAGTTTAACCATCCTCAAGGGCATATTCCCCAGATTATATCAATATCCCATAAATGCAAACATCATTACAGATGTTATCAAGGTGAGAGGGTAAGACTGACAATTTAGGGCTTTTTCCTCTAGAGACAATTGAGAGGGGACCTGATTGTGATGTTTAAATTATGAAGGGGTTCAATAAGGTGAACATAAATAGTTTTCACGTGTTGGCAAGTCCCTAATGAAGGGGCATCAATATAAGATAGCTAGTTACTAAGAAATCAGAGAGAATTTAGAATAAATGTATTGATGTGTTGAAGGTAGTGAGAATGTGGAACTCACTACCAGAGGTTGTGGCTGGAGCAGAAAACACCAAGAACACATGAGAGAGACAAGGGAATATATGGTGGTGGGGGGCTAAGGGGAGGCTCACATGGAGAATGAACATTGGCACGGACTAGTTGAGCCAAGTGGCCTGTTTCAGTGCTACAGATTCTATGTAATTCTATATATAGGTAAACATAGCAGGAATGTCGTACAAATAATGGGATGAGTTGCAATTCGTTTGAATGTGAGTAAATTCGGAAGAGAAAGGAGTATAGTAGGAAAACACAAATCTGTGTGGTCTGTATCATATAATGCTGAACCTGTACCATCAGGTTATTGGAAAATCCCCAACGCTATTTTGAACAATGCAACCCTCTATCCTTTTCATTGTTTTTGAATCAAATTTTACCACAACATTTATGTTCTGGACCCATTCATTACACTGTAAATGGACATGGCAGCTTTCTACTGGACAGCTCGTCAGTTTCTTTAAATTCTGAAAAGGTTTTATTTGCTGGAAACCAGTGGAACATGTGCGATTGATTCTTTCATTTTGTTTCTTTGTGAGTTCAAGCATTTCTAATGCAGCCCCAACTCGCAGATTTTTACGAGATTAGATAATTGGGTTTGCTGGTTGATTTGTTGCCTTCAGCAGTAGCCTTGGTGCAAAAGGTCAGATGGTCTTTATAAATCAAAACAGTTATCATATGATGGGGGTTGTAACCCTGTGACATATCAGCAGGTTTGGAATCACTCCAGAAGAAAAAGCATCGTTCTTAAGAGTGTCTGATTAGAGTTCTCAGGCTAAATTGTGCAAAGTAAATCACTCTTAATTTCTTTTCCGCCCAGCAAAATGTGTTCACATGTTGTAATAAACAGATCCAGCTGACCTTACATTGATGTAGCTTTTCCCTCCCAAAGTAATTGAAGTAACTGTGTACTTAACTTAGCAGAATTTTGCAGGATTGGAGCCCAGGACAGCTTGTCACTGGCTTCAGTCACACAACTTTCTCTGGATGGCTAAAAAAATGAATATCACATGCTTGTGGGACCTTCCATCTTCAGAAAGANTTTTTAATATAAAAGCCTAAATCAAAGGAAAGCATTTTAACTTATCTAAGATCTTAGAGATAAAGGCACCACCCAGTGCAGCACCAAATCATCCAGAGCAGATGGTTGCAAGTTTGAAACCTAGTCTATTCTGAATTAGCTGTAGTTAGTCATAGTAGGAGGTTGGACACAACATTATTGGCCTCCATGTCATTGTTTAAGTAAAGGAAATAAGCCAGGGTTCCTGCACTCAAATCTCCCCCCTTACTGGAAAGTGTGAGTGGAGTTTTGGATGTTGGATTGGAACATCTGCGGTCAAATAGCTTGCTGATAGTCAATGTCAAGCTTCACACAAATTTGGTTGGGTCCGTGGAAAGAAAAAGGAGTCCAGTGGCATCCAATACCAGCATCAAATCCTTCCAAATCAAGAAGAAAATGTACATGGCCAATAATATATTTCTTTATCATTCAATATATGCTGCATCAACAACAACAATTTACATTCATATAGCCCCCTTCACATGGGGTTGCATCTCAAAGCACTTAAATGCATGGTTTATCAAATACTGCTGAATCACTGTAAAAAAAGTGACTGTTCATGTTAACAACAGTGTCAAACGGGGGTTCCAGATCTAGGAGAAATTGGCAATGAAATTTAGATTTGTAACATGGAGATAAAGGTGCAATAAATATATTCATGGCGTAAACGCAGAAGTCTGACTTCAGGTTGGCAACTCCAGTCATAGTATTCAGGTTCCAACAGTCTGGCCACAGGCTCCAGTGTAACTTAGGCTACAATCTGAAACAGAGCAGTTTATGCTCATCAAGTTCACTGGTCTCCTCAACTTTTGACCCTGCGCACTCATTAAAGTACCGTTGCTCTCACGTAATACTGATTTGTGCATACATTTCAGTGGAGATTTCTAGAGAAAATGTTAGTCTGGTTGGAATACAACTTAACCTATGAACCAAAATCAACAATTTAATTATTGAATAGCATGACTGAACGTCAAGGTGTTCATATTTAATTTAGGTTTTGGTTTTGCATCCTAAAGCATCGAGTGTGCACTGAAATGTCCAATCAGTTAAGATTCCAGATATTCAAAGCTGTTCTTAAACACAACATTAACCTACCCAATGTTGTGATGCAATTTTGTTTAAGTCCAACCTATATTTACTTACTTGTTTTGATAACTAGAAGCCATCAACCTTTATATATTTTATATCTCTGCAGAACTCATTATAAAGCTGAGATAAAGCTACCAGTTGAATCTTCTGAGTGACATCATGGCTTTAGATTTGGAGCAAAACGTCAACAAACTCGGGTTTGGATTTCAGCGCAGCTCGGCATCGGACGATGATTCTGGCTGTGTTCTGGAAGAATATGCATGGGTTCCACCAGGTCTAAAGCCTGAACAGGTAGGTGTGAAGAGGTTACTCTTGCGGTATTTATAAAATATAATTTGCAGAAGTGTTATGGAATATGTTACAATGATCAGCATACTTTACTGAGCCACTTTTAACAATATATTTATATTGTTAATTATATATTATTAAATGATATCAGCGTGGCCATCAACCTCCCACATTTATCCTCTCCTGAAGGCATTTTTTGATTTATTTTTCCTTTGATTGGGATACGATTCCACAGGAACTGGTCGCCCACTGGTACCTCATCAAGTGGTTATAATTCATGAATCGTGACGCTATTCATCTGTGAAGACATCACAGCTGAATCAATCATGTTATCCCTCAGCGTCCATATCTGTGCATCTTCCAACAGAAGTCCGGAGCAGGATCCTGACTAATTTTGCCCTCCCTAACCCAGGGATGCTGAGGAAAATTGTAGGTCTAATCGATTCCTCAGCTGAGATCTGATAACTCAACAGGATTCAAACTTCTGACTTATTGGTCTTGAGCTGCAGTGAGTTGTGATTTTCCCTACATCCCCAAAATAAAGTCATCATTTTATCTGTCACAAAAACTAGAGCCTTAAACATCCTGTTTGATTTTTCTGACATTAATTTGAGTGTAACAAATGATTTCTGTTAAAGGTAATATTTTAAACTAACGTTCTATGTGAGGACAGGGTGTTGAAGTAAACTGAAAAGCGGCACACGCAACTAACTTTTTCTTTCATGAAAGTAATTTATTGTGTGTGAACATTGAAGAATGAGACATTTTGACTTTTTGATGTATTGTAAAAGTGCACCTGGAGAAATGTGCTTTGATTTTGAAAATGGGCTGATTGTTTCAGATGCAGGCTCCTTTTACTGATTGACGGGTTTGGAATAACAATGTATGTTGTCATGCACTTCTGGTTGCTGTAGCCTGCTTTAAAACTACGCATAGACTTTTCGCAAGATTGTATGGCATGTTGCTTTGTCATGTAATGAAATACTGCTGTATAATTGTGGTTTTTATAAGAAGTTCTTTTTTAAGAAAACGTTATTATCACACAAAATGTTTCCTATAAAATAATAAACACATAAGTGAGATGGATGTATTCCTAACAGCAAAAGGATTCAGTCCATTTGAGTAAGCTTCTTTGAAAACCTTAGTCAAACAAACACTGATAAAAGCCTATTGCAGAACAATGTAGTGTTTGAAGATTAGGCACACGTTTCAAAGATCTTTATTTAGCAAGATCAACAATGAAGGTAGCTGCTTTTGAGCAGAGCTGTTAGTTTTAAGGTGTTCAAGATTAGCAGATCTGCATCAGTGAGTTAAAACTATAGTCGCAAAGCACGTCGATATCGCAAAGATAACAATAATGTCATAGGTTATCGTAAAATTATTTATTTTATCAAATCTGAAGAAGCAATAAACCTATCCAAGGTTTCAACAGTCATCCTATTATGAATTGTATTGATACTTTTCTATTTGGCTTAAGGTTTTTGGTTGCAACCAACTCTTAATTTAGTATTTGACGGGCGGTCTGCAAAAATATTTTTGGAAGAATGACAAATTATCTTTTCACCCTACATGGGCCATGTGAGTTTTTTTGCATAAGTCTGCCCTACCTGGTAGCTGAAAACTTAAGTGGGTTTGTGTATGTCAGAGGGATCAGTTGACAGGACCACCATTTACTTCCATTGCTTGGAGTTCTGGCTTTTCATGAAGTCCCATTTCTCTCATTTGATAGAAATATCTCGGATCACTGCCAGTGGAAATGATCCATTACTGTTCGTGGTTTGTAAGAAAAGAAAATGAATGAAATGGAAAAATGTAAATTGATTGCTAGGGGAAATGAAACAAATGAGACATAGTGAGGCCCATGAATACTATTTTTTCATAAAACTGATTTTATGTTTCATATGGTCGCCCAGTCAATATAGTCACTTTAGTACCTCCCTTCGCTTCATATTGACTTATGATTACTACATTTCTTGGAAATTGTGCTGAAGATACTTTTTGCCCACAAAAATGCAATCAATCCACTTTAAAGTATATTCCTGTGAAACGCTTTGAGATGTCCTCTCGATGTGAAAAGATGCAATACCAATTGTAAAGATTATTAGTTTTTAGTCAGCTCTTATCTTGCCTGCAATATGTTGAAAATGGGTGCTCCCACCTGAATTTTTCAACACTTCTCTTCTTCCTCGCCCACCAAGTACATAGCTATGGACAAGCCTGTACCCTGATTCAGGAGCTCATTCAAATTCTCTAAAGGAATTCTCTAAAATCCCTTACAGTAGAAATTTCTCATTTACCACGACCCCGTTAACAAATGTCAACTGTATTCCCAATAGACACAAAATACAAATATAATTCAGAGAGAGAGAATGGGTTTGTGTTGAAGGGTTTATGCAGGACATAACTGCATTCCCTCTTAGTGTTAAATGCTAAATGCATATTCATCAACCTTCAACAACTATTTCAACAACTTTGTGTGGGTCTGCATTGTTGGTTAATGAGAATGGTCCAGAACTCAATAGAAATTTGTATTATTTAGGAACACAGCCAAAAAGTTTACCATTAGGACAGATGTAGTGTTGCATAATTATTTTTCAGCAATTTAAAATTTAAATGCAACTATTATTGTGCATTGAAGAACACGACTTGCCAATCTTTTATGAAACCCACCAGTGTGGTTCTCCCATCCTCCGGTCTCATTTGTCATCCTTGCTCCCACATGCTTGATCCACATTGTCCTCCTTCATTGAATACTGTGCTCTCTATTAGTACAGCTGAAGGCTATTAATTTGAGGCACCCGGTTGAAATAAATGATCCCATATCGGATCACCCCATTAAGCACATTGACTCAATGTATTCAACCGTTATGAAGATTTATAAGTTGCACTCTAATGTTTTGATACTTCACCCAGTAATTGGGTGCAACAATTGATGATTCTAAATATATGTTTTGTGTTGTATGATTTCATTCTGCATTTGTTCCTTTGTCTGATTTAAAAACACTCCCGGAGGAACTGAGTGAAAAAATCCTTTGGAAGAAATTTCTCATTTACCATGACCCCATTAACAAATGACAACTGCGCTCCCAATACAGAATTTAGGGGAAGAATCAGAGTGTTCAGCAATTTTTAACAGGATACTTAGAGTCAAAGGATACACATTCCATGTCGGTACTTGAACTCACATAGTCTTAAGCTGACAATCCAATGCAGTGTTGGTGAGCAATTGTGCTGCCGGGTTTGCCGACAAATTCAGTCTTTCTATTTCACAGTAATTCCTGTAAAGGGCATTGATAAGGCTCTATACGGTTATCCTGTAAAGGGCGCAACGATTGTGATTATTTTGCAGCAGTTTCCAGAAATAAGGGTATTGGCCTCAGCTCATTTAAAGGGGCCCAAAACAGGACAAACCTATTTTAAAAGTAGAATTTGGAACTGTGACATCCTCAGCCTGTTTAGATTAACCTCTAAACTTCCCCACCTCCCAGAAATGTAATGACTTTTTGATCCTGTGTAGGAGGTATCTCCTTATTTTTCCTGCAAAGATTCACTTTGAGACCCCCAGTTGAGAGGTGTTCAAGCAGAGCAACATTTTATGGCTAGTCTCTCATTTGACCTGCAAATAATTATTTTCAATTGCCAGCCATTATCTTTGATTAGAGTCGCCAGAGGCTAAAGGGGCTGTACTGTAATAAATTGGTGGCTGTACAGTCAGCAGTGTCTCAGTAAAATGTGGCTGCAAACCAAGGCTGGAAGAAAACTCGTTCCCAGAAACACACATGGAAGCAATGAAGGCGTTGGCCTGGACGGCTGTGTGTTTGGGAGAGTAGTAACCAGGAAAACTTTCCAGAAAGCATATTGAATCTGTACAGGCAGCAGAACAAGGTTGGTTTGTGCATTGTAATTTTCTGTGCAACTGACTACATTATTTACAGAATTGCTGACAGGAATTTTTTTTGACACATGAGGGAAGGTAATAAAACACTCGCCCCCACCTCCCCCCCCATCATTCACCCCTGAAGGTGCTGACTTTTTGCTGCAGCAGTTCCAAAGGTACCAAATTGCCAGTGCCTCATCCAAACCGCCACTCTTTATGTATAAGCTCATATAGTAAGTATCAACAAGCTAATTAAATTTGTTCTCTCCCATTAAATAAATGTACATCTTAAATAACTCAGTAATGATCAGAAATGGGAATCCTTAAATCCTAGACCTTTCACAGTGCTTGGACTATTCTGCAAGCTCTGAAATCAATTCACTCAGCAAAGATGTGGGAAGAAGGACTGAGTGAGTTAACATTTGGTTATGAGCAGGGAGAGAGAGAGAGGACCCCCACATTATATGTGCATAATTTATGATACCCTAATAACGGCTGCAAATTGCATTCCAAAATGGCAGTTCAGCAGCTGGGTCCTTGTCATTTCTCAAGCAATACAATTTTGCTGACTTCAATGATCTGGTCCTTGTAATGATCAAGGGATCATAAATCCTTTCAGAGTTCTGTTCAATGTAACATCACACCAATCTTAAACCTTAAATCCTTGTAAAAACTCAATAATGAGATACATTTGGAAGTTGCTTGATGAGAATTCTCTGGAGTCTGGCTGCAGTGAATAACCTCCAGAAGTGAATGATGAAATTCATAGATAACACAATTTAATAAACTGTTTGTAATGTGACTTTCCTCTTCTGTCCAGTTTCAACCATTCATTTATGTATTCTCTTTTGACCTCCCCCACCAGGTACAGCTATATTTCTCATGCCTTCCAGAAGATAAAGTCCCCTACGTTAACAGTGCGGGAGAGAAATACAGAATTAAGCAACTTCTGTACCAGCTACCACCACACGATAATGAGGTAAAAAAATCATTAAAAAAACAGCCTCACTCAGGCACACCATGTGTTCAGTGTTTATGGGCTCATTATGGTACAGGGCAAAGAAAGCAAGGTCCGCTTGCCATGGCTACCTACATTTTTAAGAAAACGTGTAAACTGTCGTAAGGAATGGTATTCAACTCATAAAGCCTGCAATTGGTAAAACCTGCACATCCTGGATTATTTAACTGTTTGTTCTAAAACAAGCATTCATTGTGCTGTTCGGCAGCATTGTTTCCCTCATTACATTAATTGTATTTGTCCCCACTTTCTGAACACAAGTAGCTTTTGTGCTGTTTGCTGCCACCCGCCAACTATCATGTGCCTGAAATTCCTAACGTTTCTTTACAACAAGGAAAAATAAAGGATGTTTAAGCAGCAGTAAAATTCTCTGATTTGAAGAGAGCATTGTGCTCTTGTGTACTTGTTGTCAAAGAAGAGGCCTTTTCTGAATAAATGAGCCGTAGCTCATGTTTTAATCCACTCGGTGTTCTGTCACGGCCTTAAACAGTAAAGTGCTGTTTACAATTATCCTTCTTTTCAAAATCTTCCTTCTTGGGTCATAAAAGTGTCTTTTTGGTTGGGCCTCTTAGGGTGTTGTTGTGCACTGTTTGGGTTTAGCAAAGGATTTGTTGAGCACTTTGGATGGCATGACACCCAGTCAATCTAAACCCAGTTATAGCTGCTACAGTTATAGTAATACCCACTCCTCCCCACCCCACCAGCCCCGATGTTTCTAACCTGGAGGATTAAAAAAAAATTGCTGTAATTTTTTAAATTTACAAACTGGACTGCAGAAAGAGTGGCACTAGAGTGTCAGTGCATTTGCTCTTGTTGCAGCAGCGTAAACATAGCAATCTCGTACCACTGATCAAATGTCTTTATTAAATTAAATGGTTTCACTTAATATAATCTAAATACAGTGGTGTATACATTAATAAGTCATTAGCATGTACAGGGAACAGTAATAATATATAAATTAAACTGATAGCACATCGACAATTTCCCCAGATTCATTTGTGAGTCTGGACTGTGAGCCTATTCAATTTTGAAATGCATCACAGCTGAGCCCAAAACAGTTATCATCTGATGTTCACATATATACCTTTCCTACATGGATCACTAGATATTTATGAGGAGGAATCCTGACTAAATTTGTTTCCCTTCCCTAACCCAGGGGGTCCTGAGACCGATTTGCTGTGCTTCAACTACTGCTCCGGCCAAGATCAGCTAAGTCAGCACAGACGAAGGAATCAAATGTGCAAGGATTGATAATTCACTTGATGGTGGCTTTGTGCACCAGCCATTGGGATACCAAAATATAATTTATTAGGGGAGAAATTACATCAGTTCCCATGTAAAGTGTAAAATAGCTGCCAAGTCATCTTTGTCCGTTTTTATCAACGTGCTTCTCTGTTCTCTAACCAAAAAGAACACAAGAATACAGACTATAGGAAATTTAAAACAACTAGTTTCTGTAATTGTTCTCAGAGAGAAAACTGAGGCCAAGATCTTTATTCATATCACAAAAACTTTGTTGCATGCACTTTAAGTAATGTAAATTCTTGGTACTACAGAAAAAGAACAAAAGATTTATTGTGTATTTTTAGGTGCGGTATTGCCAGTCCCTGAGTGAGGAAGAAAAGAAAGAGTTGCAATTGTTTAGTGCACAGCGTAAGAAAGAAGCCTTGGGACGAGGAACTATGAAACAATTGCCAAGATCACTTATGCATACAGTGTGTGAACAGGTAAATTGAAACTCACCAGACCTAGATTCTATTTGTTGTAGCAACATATTTTGCAATAATAATAATCTTTGCATTTGATATAGTGCCTTTCATGTCAGAACATCTTGAAGCACTTCACAGGATATACTGTAAAGTGGAGTGATTGTGTATTTTGTGGGCAAACGTGGCAGCCAGTTTGTGTATTTTGTGGGCAACCGTGGGCACAGTAATGTCCCACAAACAGCCATTAATTGAATGGCCAATTTTATTTGTGTGATTGTCAGGAGACTGGGAGAAACTCCTCTTTTTGAATAGTGCCATGGGGATCATTAACCTCCACCTGAACAGGCAGAAGGGACCTTGGTTTAATGTTTCATTCAGCTCCCAACAATGCAGCATACCCGCAGCACTGCAATGAAGTGTCAGCCTAGATTATTTCAGTCCCAAAGTGGGGCTTGAACCCAAACACTTCTGACCCAGGGATGCAGGGCTAGAGAAGATTTCATAGATAGGAGAAGCAAAGTCATGAAGTGTGTTTCAGACAGAACCATAAAATACTTTGAATGTATTTCCATAAAATGACATCTCTTTAAAATTCAATGGGGAGATGCACCTTCTAGTGTGTGTGATTGAGACCGACAAGAAAAACCCAGGTTAGATCTCTGATCTATGCCAAGTTAGCAGATGTGAGGAGAGTGGTTGGTTGCTAGAATTGGGCTTAGTTAGCATTGCAGGGCTCGAAAGGGTAAAAGTCAGGCAGATTTCTTGTCCCTGAAGAGTATCAAATAACTCTTGCTGAAAAGTACACATTTGCAGACATTGCAGGAGGGTGGGATTAGGATTGGCTAATATGCTGCCCTTGAGGTTAACCAGCTTGAATATATGGACATTTCTGTTGCTGACATTTGTTGTATTGGGTCTGGAGAGGATTTGTTTTCTTTCTCTTTTGCAACTCTTCGTAATCTTCTCCGAACTACATGCAGAAATGAGATCTGAAGAACCCAAATACGTTCAAATAGCAGTTAATTCTGCAGATTTTAATGATACCTCAAGTCTACAGATGTAAAGAATAATTGAGTCCACATGGAGACTAAATATTGTTTTAAAAATAAATCTTGATTTTTGTGTGAAACAATATTGTTGCAAAAAAATCACAGTCAGTTGGTTGGAGCAAGTTGAAACCGTTCAATAGGGTAAACAAGGAGAAACTATTTCCACTGGTGAGTGGGTCGGTAACCTGAGGACACCGATTTAAAATAGTTGTTAAAAGAAACAGAGGGGAGGTGAGGAGAATTTTTTTCACACAGCGAGTTGTTTGGATCTGGAATGCATTGCCTGAAAGGGTGGTAGAAGCCGATTCAATAACAACTTTTAAGAGAGTATATAATTATTTGGGGAGGACAAGTTTGCAGGGCTATGGGGAGAGAGCGGGGGAGTGGGATTGATTTGGATAGTTCTTTTCAAAGAGCCGACACAGACACAATGAGCCGAATGGCCTCCTTCTGTGCTGTATAATTCTATGATTATTTGGAAAATTATTTCCTGAGCAGACTGAATCATCTGTTTCATTTTGTCTACTTTAAACTTTTAAAGTAGACAACGTCACGATTAGCTTTTCAGATGGATGAAATATGCATCCTGGTAAGAACAGAAATAATGCATGGCAAACAGGGTTACCTTTCTTCAATGCAGTACTTTTGCAGGACTAGGATTGCTAAATAATTTATTTTCTCAATTGTATTTTGCAGTGTGGGGAAAAGATAAACGGAGGTGAAGTAGCAATATTTGCCTCGAGGGCTGGCCCGAGTGTTTGCTGGCACCCAGCTTGCTTTGTTTGCTCAACTGGCCATGAGCTCCTCGTCGATCTTATATACTTTTACCAGGATGGAAAAATCCACTGTGGCAGACACCATGCTGAACTTCTGAAACCACGCTGCTCAGCCTGTGACGAGGTAAGTTCAAGCGTGGGCCGGAAGCAATTTAATCACTGAGTGGTATATTTGGTCTTGTTGGGTGTGCATACTGGAAGCTGTGTTCCTTCCAAAATTATAGAGTTAAATAGGTTTCATTTTGAAGTAGGCTGTTAGTTGATTATGTAGTTCAAAGACTGCTTTAGATTCTTGTGGTCACAGATTCAAATTCCAAGATTGTTTTTAGGCATTAAAATGGTTCAAGGCTTTTTGTGGCTTTGTATGTGCAATGTGCCTTAGTGAGTCCCTCTCATGATTTCTCTATGAAGCATTGGAAAATAATTACAGTATTTCCACACTTGCTACAGATCTTGAAACGTAATTTTTGAACAACTGAAATATAAGACCATTCTTCCTTCTGGCACACACACTCAATTTTAACTGAATATCGTATGTGGAAACTTAAAGGACAATGCAGTAATTATAATAATAATAATAATAATCCTTGCATTTGATATAGCGCTTTTCACGTCGGGAGGACGTCCCAAAGCGCTTCACAGAACACACTGTGTTATTTTAGAATAAATAGTCCGATGCAACTTGTTGTACTAGGATATAAAACACATTTGATATGCGCCCCACAATTGTAGTTTTGCAAAGTAGATGCAATATATTTTATTTATACCCGGTTTCAAAGCTTCTATGTAGAGCCAATAGTTGTTAATTTTAATCAAAGCATTTGACGTGGAGATGCACAAGTGCTATCGGGCATCTGGAATCGCCATGAAGTACATCTGTTGTCAACAAGTCGCAGAGTTCTGTTGTGTTCGCGTTACTAAAACCAGGAAGTGGATCTCAACTGGGCAATGATTGCAGTGTTGCAAATGGGCTTTATGCCATTTGGTTTTGGAGAAGCAGGAAAAGAAATTAGCCAGGGTTTTTGTGGCTTCGTCTGCTATTGATCGCTGCTGATGGGTTTCCACATGTGTCAGACACCCGGCTGACCAAAACACAATTGCGATCTATTTATTCCTATTTAGAAAGTGTCATCAGGTGCAAATAGGATCAGGAATTGATGTGAGGGCATCCACAATCCAAACGCCTGCAGGCACTTTATGTTATGTGTTTATTCCAGGCTAAATTCGATCAGAATCACATACATTCAGTTGTTTTCAATAGAAATTGAATTAATAACTTCAGATTCAAAAGGATGTCAGAAGTTACTTACACAATTTTATACTGACTATTGGTGACTAGATAAGCCTCTTCCTGAAAAGGAGATACCTCAGATGAGATCCTATAGAAATATATGATACCTGATGTGATAGAGAAAATTAACCCAGAGGAATACTTTCAGATGTGCCACTGCAGCAGGACATGGTTCAGAGTCACTAAAAGGAAGTTTATGACTGACACCATAAAGCTTTTCTTCATATAGAGAGTAATTTATAATTGGAATAACTTTGCAGGAAGGGTGGTGAAGACCAAGACTATGATGTGGGGGTGGGGACGGGGAAAGAGAAAACATTAGCCAATGTATATACATTCCTGTCTTTTTGGGCAATAGCAAAGGTAATTGTAGTGTGCAATATCTTCCCAGAAATATTGTGGTGGCTGCAACTGTATTTAACAACTCTTGTACACAATCTGTCATTTGGTGGGTTGCAATAAAACACATTCATAGCTGGAGTTAAAAACAGCATCTTAACAAGCAATCGCCTTCCATTATATTTATAGTAACAGTTTCTAGTTTTGATGAAAGCCAGTGTACTTTTGCCTCCATTATTTGTTTTGCCGAAAAATTACTCAAGAGTGTGTCTTAAAAAAATCATGCTGACTGCCAATTCACACATAGGCTGTTGGTAGAATATAAGGACATTAATTATTACTGAAGCTCTCGGAGTGGGTTAGGTGTATGTTATAGCTGAATTCTGCATTTCTATCGCCCGCAATGACTGACTAATCAGGTTAGAGTGGGTACCTCACGAAGTTTGGAGAAAATATTGTGGATTTTTAAAATGTAGTTTAAAAGCCAACAAAAGAAACTAATTTATGCATAAGATTTATTTTAGAATTCAGTGTAAATGTGAACTGTGGAGTTCTGTAAGCCACCTAAGAGATTTGGATACTTGCCTAACAAAGCACTGTTCTGGAATTTCAGATTATTTTCGCTGATGAATGCACAGAGGCTGAAAACCGTCACTGGCACATGAAGCACTTCTGTTGCTTTGAGTGTGAAACTATCCTTGGCGGACAGAGATATATTATGAAGGATGGACGCCCATACTGCTGCAGTTGTTTTGAAAGCCTTTATGCAGAGTATTGTGAAGCCTGCGGGGATCACATAGGTAATCCGGTATTCCTAATTGTATCTTAATTAAAACTTGTATTTACACTTGCATTTGAAAAATACAAGAGTAAATACACGAGTTTTACATTCTTTTTGTTTAGATTTTTTTAAAAAGGGAAATGTATTTTTCTTCCAAAGTAATGTTGGTCAAACTTAGACAATAACTAGAAATCAGATTCTAGTTCAGCAAATAAGGATCATGTGTATTTATTTTGAAAAAAGCTGCTCTCTCCCTGCGGTTATTGTTTGTTTGGAGGAAAGCAATTTGAAATGAGTGTTTAGTGGTGGGCTGCAAGTATATTTCACTTTGGTGCAGGAGAAATGAAGTGCAACATGTTTATTGCCTTCAGCATTGCATTTCTTTCCAATTTTGGCCATGACTTAGGAATGGGGGCCCTTTACTGCATTGTCCCTGTGGTGAATCTTCATGAATGAACCCAGACAGCAAATGTCAGCAGTTTGTTTCACTGAGGGAGTGGAAAAACACAACCTAATCCGCACTTTCCAGCAAAGATAATCGAATAGCAATCAACCATAAGAACAAGGATGATTTTCTCCTGTCTCACGCATAGAGGTAGAATGCAACGATCCTTCCTGGTGACTTAGCTGAGAGCAACCAATATGGATCAAGCCAATAACTAACAATGCATCCAATTCATTGAATGATCAGTGACTTCTTGTGGCATAAATCCTGACTTTCATTTACATAAGCAGTGAAACAAAAACCCTTCGAATTAGGTTGGTATGAACTGACTCTAATTTTGTTTTGTTACTTTTTCACACAGGAGTTGATCATGCACAAATGACCTATGATGGCCAACACTGGCATGCCACTGATAAATGCTTTTCTTGTGCCCATTGTCGGACGACACTACTCGGGTGTCCTTTTCTTCCAAAACAAGGTCAGATATTCTGTTCAAAAGCTTGCAGTTTGGGAGAAGACATACATGCGTCAGACTCTTCTGACTCTGCCTTCCAATCTGCACGATCCAGAGAATCCCGCCGAAGTGTGCGAATGGGAAAAAGCAGTAAGTCTGCAGATCAATGCAGACAGTCGCTGTTGTTATCGCCTACAATCAATTACAAATGTCCAGATGGCTCCATTAAGGGAGATGATCCCCTTTCCCAGCAAATGGATGTCCTCAGCCTTAACAGCCAAACTACAAGTCTGAGTAGTGATCACTTTTGGAAAGGCAGAATGGACCCAGATGCACCCGAACACGAAGAGTGGGCAGAACACGATGACTATATGACCCAGCTACTACTTAAATTTGGAGACCGAGGAATCTTTCAGCAGTCAAATGAAGGCAATAGGCAGTGTGACCCCTGGATGTCAGATAGTGAAGTCAAAAGCAAGTCTGAGCTGAAGAGCCATCATCAAGGCTTAGCCAGCAAGAAATATCAATCAAACATGTACTGGGCACAATCGCAGGACAATCTGGGAGATTCAGCCTATGGAAGTCATCCAGGTCCTGCCAGCAGCAGAAAGATTCAAGAATTAGATATTGAACATGGTGCTACCAGTTACAAACATGAGCAAAACCCATGGTATGAAGGTTCCTTGGAATGCCTGACAAATCAGTCGAAGCCAGCAGAAGAAAGTGTTAGAGATTCTGTGGATTCGTTGGCCCTATCCAACATCACAGGTATTTACCTGCTCCAATAAACCTATTGTACATATCTAACAAAATGAGAAAACACTCAACTAAACTATCAAATTTTAGCAATTTTAAACAACAACAAAATTACATTTGTATAGTACCTTTCACGTTGGGAGGACGTCCCAAGACGCTGGACAGACAGAGTTACGGACCTGAGCTGAGGGTCGGGGTGGGGGAGGGTGGAAGGCAGGGGTGAAGCAGGGAGATCGAAGGAACGGTCGAAGAGGAGGGTCTTGAGGTGGGCCTTAAAGGTGGTAAGGGAGGGGGCGAGACGGAGGGACTGGGGGATGGAGTTCCAGAGGGTGGGTGCAGAGTGGCGGAAGGCCCGTCCGCTGTTAGTGGGGCAAGCAAGGCGAAGGAAATGAAGCAGGCCGGAGCCCTCTGAGCAGAGGGAGCAAACAGCATGGTGGGGGGTAGGAGCTCACAGAGGTAGGGGAGAGCAAGACCGTGGAGGGCTTTGAAGATGAGGACCAGGATCTTGAACTGTATCCTCTGTGTGATGGGAAGCCAGTGGAGTTCGGCAAGGATGGGGATGATAGGGTCACGGAGCCTAGTGCGGGAGAAGACATGGGCTGCAGAGTTCTGGATGACCTGCAGCCTGTGGAGCGAGGAGTTGGGGTGGCCGATAAGCAGTGAGTTTGCATAGTCGAGCCTCGATGTAATGAAGGCGTGTATGAGGGTTTCGGTGACCTGCGGTGTGAGACAGTGTCGGAGCCGGGCAATGTTGCAGAGGTGGGAGAAGGCAGAGCGGGTCATGGTGCAGATGTGGGACAAAAATGATGGTTGAGGGTCAAACAAGTCCCCAAGATTCCGGACTGGCTTAGCAAGGTGGAGTGTGCAACCATGGATGATGATGCTGTCAGCGCCTGAGGAGGCGCTGACGGGAGCCAATCGGGAGGGCCTCGGTCTTGTTGACGTTCAACTGAAGAAAGTTAGCTCTCATCCAGGACTTGATGTCTGACAGACATTCTGTCAGCACAGCAGTGGTCTTGGAGTCGAGGGTGGAGGCAGAGAGATAGAGTTAGGTGTCATCTGCATACATGTGGAAGTTGACCCCATGTCTGCTGATGATGTCACCAAGAGGGAGCATATAGATATTGAAGAGGAGGGGACCAAGGAACGTCTGAGGAACCAAGGAACCCTGAGGAGCGTCGCACAAGATGGTCCGGGGGCTAGAGGAGAAGCTGTTTTGAGGAGATGAAGTGCAGGTGTGAGAGGTACCAATCAAGGACAGCGCAGTGCAGCAGAGGTCAAGGAGGACAAGGAGACAGGGGGAGCCCCGGTCGCAGATGGACAGAATGTCATTTGTTATTTTGACCGGTGGGTTTCTGTGCTGTGGGCGGCACAGAAACCTGATTCAAGGGGTTCGAGAAAGGAGTGGCGGGAGAGGAAGGAGCGAAGCTGAGAAGCAAAAACTCGTTCCAGGACCTTGGAACTGTTTAAGTGGGAAACATTCATTTAAAATCTTTTTGATGGAATTCCCAGTTTTTCCTTGATTTATTTTCTGAACATAATTGTGTGGTGCTTCCCCAAATGGCTAAGTGAGTAACTGCATACCTGCGATACCCTGTGCCCCTATAGGCTAGTAAGGTCCCAGATTGTTGGGGTTTATTTTGCCAAATGTCTTCCCTGACTCTTCACTCAGGTATGATTCCAGTTACTTTTGTATGAGGCTTAACAGGTGATTTGACCGTGTCAAAACAGATTAAGACATGGACAAAGATTTATAAAAATCGTATAAATCAGAACACATAAAGATATCAATTAAGTGAAACAATGGCAGAGAGGGACCTTCTCCTGTATACACATAAGTTGAAGGCATCATGACAAAAAACAGCTGGGTACACAGACATCATGAAATACTTGAGATAAAAATGATTTTAGATCTACAATGCGTAGTCATTCCTCTTTTGATCCTTCAGTCCAATTCTATGACTGTGTTGGGGGAAAAAAAAGGTACAGGCAATGCAAAAAAAAATTGTCACATAGCTAAGATAATGGTGTCTTATTTGATTCCCAAATATGTTTTCAAAGCTCATATTCATGCTCTTATCTCCTCACCTCCAGGAAGGGGCTCGGTATATGGGAAATCTCCCTGGTGCCCCTGTGAATATAATAATAATAATCATCACGTCTTCGAGACATCTCAAAGCGCTTCACAGAATATATTGTAAAATGAATTGACTGTATATTTTGTGGGAAAAACACGGCAGCCAATTGCGCACCAGCAATGTCCTACAAACAGTCATGGATTGAGTGACCAAATTATTATTATTATTTGAAGGAAGGTTATCTACTAATAGCATGAATGGTTTATATTTATGAAAGCTCAGGAACCATGAATGGATGAATGATTCCTGAGTAGACCATGGTTGGCTCCTGATGCATAACACCCTGTGCAGCCTAATTCAGAGGTTACATTTAAGCCCGAGTTAAAGTTTTTAAATGCTTGGATGTTTTATACATTTTGGCACCCAGCAAGAATTGGTATTCCCAATTTACATGACAAATACTGAGCCTTTTGGGGAGCCAGTCAAACTCTGCTCACCTCTATAACATTGCCCACCTCCACCACAACCTCTCCCCTAGGGCTGCCAAGACCCTCCTTCACGCTTTTATCAACAACAACAAGATTACATTTGTATAGTGCCTTTCATATCAGGAGGATGTCCCAAGGCGCTGGACAGAGTACAGCATTTCAAACCCGAGCTGGGGTTGGGGGGGGTAAGGGAGGGGAAGGGGGTTGGCCGATTGCATGGTCAAAGAGGAGGGTCTTGAGGCAGGATTTGAAGGAGTTATATTATCATAAATTTATAAAGAAAGATATTATCACATCCTAGCCTGACGCTGCTGCCAACTGTCTGTTTCCCGAATCCCCAGCTCTTTACTATACAAGCTGCAGATTATGCACTTCTCTGCAGCATGTGTCCTCTCCCACACCAGGCTGCAGGAGTCCATCAGCCCCATTCTTGCTTGGCTTCATTGGCTCCCCATCCCCCAGCAGATCAAGTTCAAGATCTTCATTCTCACCTTCAAATCCCACTATGGTCTTGCTCACCCTACCTGTGTGACCTTCTTCAACTATTCCAACACAACCCTTCACTAATCAGCACAAGCCTGCTTTATGAACCCTGCCCTATCTACCCCACAATTGGCGGGCAGACTTTCAGCCATTCTGCCCCCGGGTTCTCAGGAATTCTAGCCCGGGACCCTCTGTCTTCCACTCCCTCCTCGTTCAAAGTTCATCTCAAGACATACCTCTTCTGTGATGTTCAATGATCAGTGGCAATTAAAACTTTCTCCCTGTGTTTTTTTTGTAGGAGCTTCAATTGATGGGGAAAGTCAAAGTCAGCAGAGGTCGTCCATGTTTGCTCTGCAAGATTTTCAAGAAATGGAGAATGACTGTGAAAAAATGAGCACAATGGGAACCATGAACTCCTCAATGCGTCATCGCAGCACAGAGTCCCTCAAGAGCCTGACTTCAGAACTCTGTCAGGTTGTGGTGCCAGAAGAAAAGCAAAAGCCTCTCTACCTCCCTATACTAAGGAGATCAGAATCCCAATCAAGGTCACAGCAAGTTAAATTCTCTGATGACGTGATTGACAACAGGAATTACGAGGAGATTGAAATTCGCCGGCCTCCAATGAGTGAACGAGCTCGCAGACGTGCATACAATTTTGATGGACATAGCAATAGGCACCATCACCGGCGCCGTAGGAGCAGGAAGTCCCGTTCAGACAATGCACTACACCTGGCCACGGAGAGGAGGGGTCAAAGGGAAAGACCTCGTCTCTGCTCGCCAGAGGACTATGACAAACTAATGCAGGCCAAAAGCTCACAAGAAGTTCAAACGTACATTCAAAACCAGGAAATGTACAGGCAGTATACTCCAAGTACCCAGACTATGCACTGCAGAACCAAGTGGTAGATAAATTTCTTGGTTTATATGGTGACGATGACGATTCCTGGTGTTCAACATGCTCTTCATCATCTTCAGATTCAGAGGAAGAAGGCTATTTTCTTGGACAACCTATCCCACAGCCAAAGGCCCAAAGATATCAGTGTTACACAGATGATCTTAGTGAGCCTTCCTCGGTGTTGTCTACTTCCATTGTGGGACCAAGGACCTCCAAACCCACAAAGAAAAAGGGACACAAAAGCAAAAATTGTATTATTTCGTAGAAGAATTGGTACAAACCATTCAACAAAGAATTTTGCTTGTGTTGGTTGAGCCTGTGAATTCAGGAGCTTATGATAAAGATGTAAATTAACTCAAGAACACCCATAGATCACATTTTGGCAGACAATGCTACAAGTACAATATAAATTCAGAAAAGTCTACACTTGTGGGTGAACTTATTGGTAACACTTGTTGCTTGTTTCTTTGGCCATCAGCCTGGAGTTGTTCAACCATTGAATTCAACAATAAACTGTTCGCTGACAGGTTGACACTTGCAGAAGTGGTTCCGTTGACATTAACGCTTTTAACTTTGTAACCTTTTGATATGTTTTATGGTGCTTAATGTTATATGGTCTTAAATGTTCACTTACATTAAAGTATTTGCAATGAATTTGTGGAGTCCTGTAGCTCAGTGATTAGAGCACTCACTTTGCAAGTGAGAGACCTGAGTTCAATTCCAGGCAGGGCGAAACCTTGGGCAAGTTTCCTTACTCCACACGCCTCATAATAATCCCTCCAAAAAACTCAAAACAATAATAAATTGGTCATTTTCAATCTACGACTGTTTGTGGGACATTGCTGTGCGCAATTGGCTGCCGCATTCGCCCACAAATATACAGTCAATTCACCTTACAGTGTGTTCTGTGAAGCGCTTTGGGACGTCCTCCCGACGTGAAAAGCGCTATATCAAATGCAAGGATTATTATTATTATTAAAAGTTAAAATAAATGGGCTGAGTGACGAAAGGGCAAAACAAAAGTGAGGCTGAAGCTATTGGTGCATGTGTACTCTTATTTTTAATCTTAATATTCTAGACATTAAAGCAGCTGCAATCTTAATTTCAAAGAAAAAAAGTTGGTATTTATAATGTCGCATTTAGTAACTAATGGTAATCATAATTTAACAGTGCAAATAATGTATATATTGTAAAATTCAGATTAAGAAACTGATATTTTTATATCCCTGAATGACAGAAGTCCTTTATGTTTTGTTAAAATAAATCGATGTAATAAGAGCACAGCCTCATTGGATATGTTCTTGTGACGATGACCCCTTTCGTCAGTCAGCATTCAGCATTTTACTTTTACACAAGTTTAGGAAATACAGTGTTTGTCTTCTATATACATGAAATAGCTTCTCTTGTTGTTCAATGGCTGGGGTCTGGAGCAGGAATAACACTGCTCCTCTTAAACCCTATAAGAGCACTCAAGGCTCTTGCTGTGTCACAAGAGCTCTTTGTGGGTCAGTTGGTCCAAAATTTTAAATTGATGTAAAAATGTAAAAACTGGAACATGTGGATGAATAATAAAGCATTATTGTAAAGTAACTTGAATATCCAATTCATTTCACAAAAATATACTCAAGGATGATGATTCTCAATAATAATGGCTGTAGGGTAAATCTGTATATATAGGTATTTTATTCTCCAAACGCCTTGCTCCTAGTCTGAAGGTGTTGATTCATGTGGAGAACAGTAAGCATCCATCTTCCAGTATCGCAGTTCTTAAATGTGAGCTGTGCGAATTAGCCACAGCAAGCTAACAATTGTAGTGGATATAGTAGACAAGCTCAATCCTGTCCTTCCACAATATCACAAGATGGCGATCAGGTATGGGAGCGAGACTGTCTTATTTTTCTCATCCCAAGCCCAATAGCAGTCATCATCAAGATCTGAGAATTCAGCACAGAATAGATTTCTGATCTACATGTATACTTTTCACACAGCATAATCATGTTAGATCCATCAGTCAGATCTGTTTTTCTGGTGGTTGTGCCATTGTAACAGATGCCTAAAACAGAGGTAAATATTGATCAACAATTTGTATAAACAACTATTTGAAAAAAATGTTTACATTTGAACAAAGAATTTAGATTGCTACAATGGTTTGAATAACATCTTCACATGTTATGAGGTTAAAAAACTGTCCAGATGGTGAGATTATTCTCTCCCCCCTTATGGTTCTCTTTAGCTGGTGGGTTGTTCCTCTTTTGAGGGTTATACAAATTACAGAGAAACTGGAACCAAGAATGATTGTAGCCCTTGTCTGGAATATACCATCTCCCTTTTTAAAAAAAACACCTCATGAGTCACTCATTATCAACCATTACAGTGTTAGAGATAGTGTTCATAAAACCAAAAAGGTTATGCTCAACATGCTTTTTACATTGCAAGGCATCTTTGCAGTTTTGGAGTACTGTAATATATCCTCATACGATGCCATTAGGATCAATTTGAACCTTAGTGTGAAGTCCATTTGTGTTTTCTCCTTGTTCGAATATCTGATTTAACGGAACCCTTTCCTCACAGATTGCATAAGAAGGTCATAAGAATTAGTTCTGCACATTGGATTAACAACAGACGTAAACTCATTTGTACTGAGATTGAGATCTGCTCAAGATTGACAGAAATCTGTGCTAAACCACCAAATCTGTTTAAATGTTTTGTTTCTCCTCTCCTGAAAGATCCAACTTACACTATTATACATTTGCATGGAAAATATCAAAGGGATTGAAATGAAGTTCCCTTCACTCGATTTCTTTTCATTAATTATTGTGCATCAGATCAGCCAGGAGCTTATTCTCTTAAACAGGCTCTTAACCATGTGAGCTTGCACGGTTCCTCCAGGTAATTTTGACAATGGTAAAAAGACAGCATAAAACCAACTTATCATAGTTGATCGCAAACTTCTCTTCTGTCTACACTCACACTTGTAAGAATGGCCACTTTGTGAGGTACTGGAGGGCCTCATTGCTTGTGGAATACCTCTGTGTCAGTCAGGTGTAGTGGTAGCACTTTTGTCTCTTGAGTCAGAAGGTTATGGATTCAAGCCCCACATGAGGACTTGGAATCACATAGTGTAAGATGAAAGTCCACCACAGTGCTGTGAAGCGTTCATTGTCAGAGATGCTGTCCTTCGGATCGGACGTTAAACCGAGGTCCTGTCTGCCTGTTCAGGTGAAGGTTAAAGATCCTATGGAACAATTCAAAAAGAGAAGGGGGTTTCTCCTGGTGTCTTAGCCAACACTCTAAAATAAAATTACTCACTCATTCCATGGTTGTTCGTGGATCATTGTTGTGCACAAAAACTGGCTGCTGAGTTTTGCCTACAGTCTATCTACTTTACAGTATGTTCTGTGAAGTGCTTTGAGATATCTCGACGATGTGATAAGACAGAATATCAAGTGCAAGGATCATTTTGTTATTAGTTAGGATTATTCTCATTGGAGCAGAGAAAGTTACGAGGAGACGTAATAGAGGTCTTCAAAATTATGAGGGGATTTGATAGATTAGAAAGGGAAAAACTGTTTCCACTGGTGGGTGTGTCGGTGACTCGAGGTTACAGATTCAAAATAGTCTCCAAAAGAAGCAGAGGGGAGGTGAGAAGAATTTTTTTCACGCAGCGAGTTGTTCGAATGTGGAACGCATTGCCTGAAAGGGTGGTCGATAACTACTTTTAAAAACGCGGTGGACGGATATTTGAGGACGACGGATTTGCAGGGTTATGGGGACAAGGCTGGGGAGTGGGATTGACATTAATTGCTCTAATCAAAGAGCTGGCACAAACTCGATGGGCCGAATGGCCTCTTTTTGTGCTGTACGATTCTATGATCTCAGCTTTCAGAACTAGAAGAGGGAAAAACCTCCACGCCAAGGGCCTATGACAAAAGCACACATTGGGAAAATCAATTGCATTAGTGAGTTATTCATTTCCGTTGATGAGAAAGATTTAAATATCATTAGCTACCAAACATCTATTATAATTTAAATTTTTGTAAAACCAATCTGTGAAATCGAGGGAGTACAATTTGATGATCATTAAAGTTACTGACCTTGGTTTTTTGCATTCAAAAAAGGTTTCAAAAGACACACTGGTAAGAAACTTCATCAACAAGTAAAATGTTCTCTCTCCAAGTTAGTTTTTGTTTTGAAGGATGGAACCAACTGAATAATTCATGGTGGACATTTTCAGAGAAGTAGAACTTGTTGCAGAATGTACTCTAGAATTTCTAAGTGCAGAGTGAAGCGTTTTTAACACAGGTTAATATCTTTATTATCTATCAAACTAAGATTTAGTTGAACACTGATTATTATATTACTAAATTTGTGTAATCCTATGTTTTTGAATCCTATCATTTTCTTCTCTGCTTATGAATATATGAGTAAAATCTTATTAACATATGGGGTCTCTCTTCAACTGTGCCAGAAAAGGCAAAGTAATAAATTCCATCACATAAATCCTGTAGTTATTGAATTAGTGAATAAGGCCATGAGGTTTTCATCACAAACTAATTTCAACTCTTAACTACAGCATGTTAAATTCTTTGTTGCGCCATGGAAAGCACTATGCTGAGGGTCTGTTCTATTGCACAGTATACTGTTCTACAGCACAGCATGAAATGTTGCTGCAGCATGAAGATCGAACTGCGTATGAAAACCATCAAAAATGCATCAGGTTAGGTGAGAATACATGTGCAAGAACAGGGGATAACAACGGGATAGCATCATAAAAGTGAAAGGGAAAATGATTGCTACCTCTCAGTGTGTTGCTGCTATGCAACATTTTAAAAACTCATACAAGCTGGCCACAATGGGCTTGTAATAACAAATTATTTAACTGAAAATACCAGTGGAGCCATGTGTGCACTCCCTCCCCTTCAAAAAAACAACACCTCAAATCAAGCAGATTGCAGGTTTGAATTTTGGACTGTGCTGAGTTACAAGATCTCAACCAAGACCACAATAATTGGCTTAATCACCCCATCTTAGAGAGGAGAAACGTCAACTACAGTTCTTGCTCCCATTCAATGTCCAGTGACTTCTGCTGGAAAGTGCACTTGAGGTGAACAAAAACCATCTTGTTTAGCTATAAAACCCCCCCAAAGGTTAATGGCCTGCAAGGTATCAGATAGCTACCTCCACCAATGGAATGCCTTCAGAAGGGGAGACAACTGATATAAAAATAAAGTTCACAGTGCCCTTTCTATTAAACTTTAATTAAAATTACTTTAATTCTTTGAATCTGTAGTAATGACTCGTGGACCAGTACTTTTCACAGTACCATGTGACAAACAAACAAATCATCTGAAAACTGATCAATGGGAACCCATAACAGCAATTACTGCCAAGGACTTGAGTGAGGAAGGCAAGTTCTCACTCACACAGTTTGAAGGTCTGCCACAGAGAGCTTCCACTTAATTTCTCATTCCTTTCTAATAACCTATATTTTTCTCCTACCCTTACACTTTTTTTCCTCCATCCACACACACTGCTCAGAGAAACAGAATGATTGAAAGACTGGAATCCAATCTCAGATTAGAGAAACAGACAGCTAAACTAATCAATATGCTTGCTTATTAAAACAATTATATCTTGGTGTGTGCTGAGTTATGGATATCAATTGGCACAGTTTT